CTGTTAAGGAAGTTTGTGGTCATAACATTCTTGCTCTTAGTTATCTTTTTTTTTTTTTTTTTGGTACTGGGGATCAAACTCAGGACCTTCTTACTTGTCTTGAATCCTCATGCTATGGCCTTGAGCCCATTCCTTTAGCCTATATCCAGCACCTAAAAGAGTTCTTTCTTTTCTTTTTTCTTTAATAAATATTCACAGTAAGAATATTATTCATGGCATGCTTGCTTTGCGCCAGTTACTTTATGGTTTTTTTGTTTTGTTTTGTTTTTTGAGACAAAGTCTCACTGTGTAGTTCAGGCTGCCCTTGAATTCACTATGTAGCACAGGCTGGCCTTGAACTTGTGGTGATCCTCCTGCCTCAGCTTCCCGAGTGCTGGGATTATAGGCATGCACTACCATGCCTGGCTTTATTTTATGTGTTGTGTGTGTGTGTGTGTGTGTGCGCGCGCGCGCACATGCCAGTTAACTTTATATACACTCTTGTGTAATATTTTCTAAAATCTAGAAAAATAGATGTTGTTATCCTGTGTGAATGAGGACAGTCTATAGAGATGAGATTCAGAGAAGTTAAATAACAAGTGGTAGAAATAAGATTGTGTCTGTATCAGAGACCATGTGTACAGGAATAGTCAAGTTCAATAAGAAAAGTGAACATTCCGGAACCTGTCTCGCAAGCCCAAGGTCCCAAGTTCAATCCCTGGTACCAAAAAAAAAATAAGAAAAGTGAAAAAGAAAGAGTAGGCAAGTTGTCAGGGTCCCATGTAAAGAGGCTAGAGTTTGAGGGAAAGCCCTAGTTACATTGAAAAGAAAGGCTCATTGCAGCTGGGATTAGGAAGCCATATGAGGCACCCAGGGCACAAATGGAGGCACTCCCTTTCAGACCTCTGTGGGTGTAGGTCAGCAACTGAGAAGGGAGTGCCTCCTTAAATGCTGTGCTCTGGGAAATTCCTGTGTCTTAGATTAATCAGGACCCCAATTCCCAGTATAATGCCAGGCTTAACCTAGACAATCCTGTGTTGTATACATAGGGGCTAAAATTAAAGGGTAGAACTAGGTTAGGTGAGAACTGACTTAGATTTTTTTCATTACATGAGTTAGAAGCCATCCTCTGAAAAATCCCAGTTGAAAATATGCCAAAAAGATGTTTTCATGGGAGTAGATTTCATAATTGCATTTTACTTAAGTTTGTCCAAGTGTGAGCACCTTTGATGCCTGCAGGCATAGCCCTGAAATGTGATACACTAATGTTGTCAGAGGTCAATGGGAAAATATAGAGCACATATCTTAATTTTCATCTAAGACACTAGCATTGGCTTTGTAACTGTAGTTTAAATGAAAGCCTTGTACCAAAAATAAAACAAATATTCTCAGTCATTTGAAATAAGTACACAGAGACATGCATCCAAGCCAACCTTAGGACATCAAAAATTGCACCTAATTGATACATAAAAGGCTAATCTTTCTTCTTTCTTAAGACTGCTTCAATTATTCTGGACCATTCTCTATATTCCTATAGTTTATCTGGTTCGCTCATTTTGGCATGTAACCTCATGTTTCTTTGCATTAATACTTAACTCTTTCATGTATCTGTCTCTAGAAACAAAATACTAAGCTTCTAGGCGAAAGCTTTGTCTGCCTATGGCATTGTCTGGTGATGAGCGAGTCAGTGAACTGACTTCCCCTTAAACTTACAAATACGTATTTTCATTTATTGGAATAGATACTTGAGAATGATTCTAGAATCTGTATACACTAATGATGAGTAGAAGTTCTTTTTTTCCCAGTTTTAAAATGTTCCTACTTAAGCATCTGGCAAATCTAATCAGCAAATCCATGTTTGTTTATACATTTAGCAAATATTTGACGGCTTACTATGTACCAGACACTGTATTGTTAACAGAATTAGCATCACTGAAGAATGGTCATATTCAAGGTATTTCACTCTAGCATAGTTTAAGACTCAGGTGTTTTGTTTGTTTGTATAGCTTTGTGGTAGCTTTATTTTCTCTTCCTTTCACCCCATTAAAAAATAGGCCAAGGGCCACGGATTTAGCTCAGTGGTTCCACTGCCTGCCTCACAAGCACAAGGACCCAAGTTCGATCCCTGGTACCAAAAAAAAAGGGCCAGGGCCAGGGATTTAGCTCAGTGGTGCTGCCACCTGCCTCACAAGTGCAAGGTCCTGAGTTCAATCCCCAGTACCAAAAAACAATGGGCCTCGCTGGGCATGGTGGCACATGCCTGTAATTCCAGCACTTGGGAGTTGCGAGTCAGGAGGCTGAGGCAAGAGGATTGTCCTGAGTTTGAGGCCAGCCTGAACCACATAGTGAGACCCTCTCTCCAAAGAGGGGCGGGGGGCTCAATGTATATAGCACATGTTTAGTGTGAATGAGACCCTGGGGTTCGATCCCCATCATTGAAATATAAAAAAGATAGCTGTCATTCATTCTACCCTCAATCCGGAGAAAGCCATGTAGTACATCAAATGCACCCATTCCAACTCTCTGGGTTGGATAGCTTATCTCTAGACAAGATACTAATTGTAGTGTTGTGAAAAGTAATATCTAGGGCTGTGTCTTAGAGAGGAAGGTGAGTTTCATTTGGCTTGTGCTTTCCTCCAGGGACAGAGCCCTTATTGGAATTTAAATTGGAAACAGCACGTAACATTTGAATAATAAATCACTGGCACACCTATAACTCAAGAGAGCACCATCCATGAAACATGTTCTCCAACACACAAAATGAGCTCCAGTCCCTAAATTCAAAATGTCTCTACTCTTATTGCACTTAGCATATTGAATTTTGTCTGTTTTCCCCACGGAATCCTTTTAGGGTAAAAGCTGTGTGTTACTTATGTTTGTGTCTTGGCAACTTGTGCAGTATCTTATATATGGTAAAATGCATGGCAAATGTTTGTTGAATGAGTTAGGGGCTTATTATTCATGTTGAATATTGTTTAAGAGAAACTTAAAGCTGCCTAACCTACTCTTGGATTTGATCATAGATGTACATCTTCAAGGTGAGGACATGGCATGGCAGGAAAATAGGGTAGGACATGAAACTTGGAAGAATCTAGAACTTGGCTTTTTAAATGTACTCACTATTGCTTTTCTCTATTCTATACCTCAATCCTCCAAACTAGGAAACATGGGTCTAAATGTCTTGTGCACTGCAAGATGGGGGTGAGTCGCTCAGCCTCCACCGTGATTGCCTATGCAATGAAAGAATATGGCTGGAATCTGGACCGAGCCTATGACTATGTGAAGGAGAGACGAACAGTGACCAAGCCCAACCCCAGCTTCATGAGACAATTAGAAGAGTACCAGGGGATCTTACTGGCAAGGTGAGTCTGTCAGTGACTATCTCAGATGCTCCCTCCTTCGGGGTCTTGAAGGAAAGGTGAAGTGTTTGTTCCTACAGCCAGTTCTCAGCCTAATTTGAATGTGATTTTAACTTCTACCAATCAAATTTTTTTTAATAAGTGTAGGTATTTAAGATTAGCATGGAAAATTAGGCACTTAATCTTTTTTTTTCCTTTTTTTTTGGTACCAGGGATTGAACTCGGGACCTTGAGCTTGCGAGGCAGGTGGCAGAACCACTGAGCTAAATCCCCAGCCCTTTTTTTTTCTTTTGAGACAGGGTCTCACTGTATAGTTCAAACTGTCCTTGAACTCACTATGTAGCCTAGGCTGGCCTCAATCTTGTGGTGATCCTCCTGCCTCAGCCTCCTGAGTGCTGGGATTACAGGTGTGCACTGCCATGCCTAGTGGACACTTAATCTTTCAGGTGGATTTTAGGTTGATATAAATTAAAGGATAGAAATACTGTTCCTTTATTTCATTCTCAACTAGATTTTAATAAATACTTCTTGGGCTGGGGATTTAGCTCAGTGGTGCCGCCACCTGCCTCGAAATCACAAGGTCCTGAGTTCAATCCCGGTACTGCAAAAAATAAATAAATAAATACTTCTCAATGTCTTGTAAAGCTGGATACAGCTGTCTTATTAAAATTAATACTAATTATACCTAAGGTAATGCTAGACTTAGATGAAATTCTTGGAAATTTTTTGGTCATTTAAAAAAAAGATACTCACTGTTACTTTGGTTATTTTGGGGGTATATTTTTCCTTCAGGGCTTGATTTCACTGAGTCTTCTCCAGTAATATTGGTCATGTGACAAATTACCCATTTGAGGTATGAAGCTACTTCCCAGAAACAGCTGTTTATTTCTCCTTTTTTTTGAGACAGCGTCTTTTTTTTTTTTTTCTGATACTGAGGATCAAACTCAGGACCTTGTGCTCATGAGACAGGTGCAGTGCCACTGAGGGTCTTTTGATATAGCCCAGGCTGGCCTCGGACCCCTGGCAATCCTCCTGCCTCAGCCTCCTGAATCCTAGGATTATAGGCATGTGCCACCACGCCTTTTTTAAATCTTTTAATCAAGTTTTATGTATATTGTTTGCAAAAATGCAGAAAATTACAAAGGGAAAAAATAATTTATAAACTCAATACTTGGAGGCAGCTGTTGACATTAGCCTATTTCTCTAGGTTTTACTTTATCACATATTTTGATGATTGTTTTCTTCACAAAAACTATTTTGCAGCCTGCCTTTCCACCCACTGCTAGGTCTTGAATATCTACATGTATCAATAAGAAGCAGCTGTTTTCAATACTAACCTGGGTAGCTGGTTATTAAAATGAATAATTAATTCACTGCATCACTACTCAATTTGGGAGTGAAAACCACCTTCAGCTGCTCTTAGAAATAAGTGTCAGATATTAAGTGACTTGAGGATCAGTTTCTTGAGATTCCACATGCTGAAATTCTGTGGATTGCTAGATTTTGCTTTGTTTTTTCCACATGGACACATTTTAGGTAAGTTTGCCAGGGTGAAAGCACAGCTGCTGAGAAGCAGTTGAAGCTGGTGCCAAAGTTTGACTCCAGCAAGTCTCATGACTTGGTCCTGACTCTTGAATGTGGGCTGTGTTTCCCCTGAACAAAATGTTAAATAGCTTTCCAGCCTATCCAGGCAGAGGGACCACCCCCTAAAGTATTGTGAAAATGTGGCCACAACATAGCATTATGGTTTCCACTTAAAAACCCCTCCCTTTCACTCAGCTTTTGGCATGCTTTCATCTGAGTCGTTCTCTTAGGAGGCTGGGAGAACACTCAAGCCTACTCTGTTTAAAAGAATTTGTGCATCTTTGGGACCAGATTTTGATGACTTTTTTGATGGCATTTTAAGATTAAATCAAAAGATAGGGCACAGTACTTCTATTTGGCAACAAAGCAGCATCTAAAGGTTTGACAAGACATAAATATTTTATATTTCCAAACACACACATGACAGATGTTAGGCAATGTCCTCAAGTGACCCACTGAGAGGAAGGATACGATGTGTCCTGCCAATTTCAGTATTTACTCTGGAATCCCAGACTACTGCACACTGTTGGGTTGAGTTTATTTAGCATATGTGGTTTTTCTTAGATATTAAAGGAATTTCAGAAAAATCTTAAATGAAGATACAAAAGCATAATAAACCCAAAACTCACTTCTACTCTTCCCTTTCTTTTTCTATTCCATCCTGACTTCCTGGGCTTGATTCATGTAGGGAGGGGCAAGCCTTGGGAAGGGAAAAAAACCACAGAATTTGAGTTGGTAGATCTGGTTTCCATTCCTGGCCTACCCACTTACTGCAACCTTGAAAAGTTACTTCACATTTCCCATGCTAACTCAAATCTATATAAAATGAAAATCAAGAGAGCTATCTCACATGGTTATTATGAATAAAAATGTGTATAAATGTTTACTGTATATTGTTGAGGGTTCTGTTTGTCTTTTTTTTTTTTTTGGTACCAGGATCAAACACGAGATCCTGCATTTACAAGGCAGGCAGCGGAACCACTGAGCTAAATCCCTGGCCCCTATTGAGGGTTATTTTTCATCAACTCCTTTGTCCAGGGTTACCCACAAAACACATGTGTGCATGTACTTTTATTTCTTCCTTAACATCAACCTCTGCCTCCCACCACCAAAAAAACACTAACTCCACTAAAAAGTGAAAGGGAAAGTGTTCCTAGAATCCCCTGTATTGTGATATTTCCTGGACTTTAAATATGAATCCAGTTTGGAGAGATCACTTAGACTGCTTTGGGCTGCAAGTGATAGAATACCTCCAACAATAAGGATCTCAACAAGAAACAACATACTCAGATTATTTGTAGTTTTATGAAGGGACTATTTCCAAAGGTATGGCATTATAGTAAATCAAGGAACTGTATCAGCTGGACTGTTTGTTTTCCTAAATCCAAAGAGAAAAGATGCATTTACCAGAACCTGGAAGGAGACTCAGAAAAAGGCACCTTCAAATATGAAAAATAACCTTCAGTTAGGGGGACACAGCTAGCCTGAGATCCCCTGCAGGGACAGAGTTGGAGAAAAAAACACCTGTCCTCAGTCTCTTAATGCCAGTCTCCTCCTGGTGAATTAGTCAAACCCTGTGAAAGTCAGAATTAGTCAAACCCTGTGAAAGTCAGAAGACAAGGAGGCCTGTTGAAGTGGTCCATTGATCAGCCTCCAGCACAGACAGCAGGATGGAGAAGCTAAAGAGCAGACTTGCAGGGATAAATAGAAAATATCTGGTCTAACACCACGCTACAGGTAGTTTTAAAAGTTGTCATCACAGGGCTAGGATTTAGCTCAATGGTGCCACCACCTACCTCGCAAGCACAAGGTCCTGAGTTCCATCCTGGGTACGAAAAAACAAAAAAAGTTGTCATCTCCTTTTTTTTTTTTTTTTTTTTTGGTCATCTCCTCTAATAGAATAGTCTCTAGTGGCCTGGTAATGATGTGATAAGAGACTTTAGTGTGCTTCATCTTTCCGCTCTACTTTCCTTAGTTAATGTTTCAGCCTTGAGGTTGTATCCTCATGATTGCTATGTGTCTACCACATTTGTAGGCATATACATGTAAATTGCACAGCATATAGCTGAAGGAAAAGGGCATTTAAATTAGGGAGAATGACCTTTCAAGCTTCCTATAGACTTCCCCTCCAAACTGTTGGGCCAGGCCTGGGTAGTGTGTTTAAAGCCAATCACTGGTCAAGGAAACTATTTTCAGGGTTGGCTAAAACATTTATATTTGTCCTCTGGAGCTAGGGAAGTACCATATTCTTTGATTCCATAGGACAGTGAATACCCAGCCAAATCAGGCCTCTGACAATAAGAAAAGTGGTTATTTAGAGTCTGCAATGTATAATGTTTTGTTCAAAAACCTTGGTACTTTAAATCCCAGTGTATTGAACCCAGCAGACTCTTTACTGGTACCACGGTCCTGCAACAGAATCTGTCTGTTTAGAAGAGCAAAAAAAAGAGAATATCCAGACTTCTGTGGTTATCTGAAGTTCTGTCAAGTCTTGTGATTTAGGTAACTAGGCAAGTAAAGTCCTTAGAAAAATCATGTTCAGTTCTATTTGCAAAGAAATTCCATTTCCTGCCCAGGTGTTTTGATCCTGTATTTCATATCTTCTCCCAGGAGCCATGTGGTGATTTTCTCAGGGAGTTAAGAGCCTTGCTCCTACCATTTCTAGCTCTGTGGTTACACAGTAGATGCTTAACTGGAGGTGGCAGCTCTCTCGTTGAGGGCTTTGGTTTAGTGTTTTGGCCTCTTAGTAGAAGAAAAGTTTACAAATTGACACCAAGTTCCTACACTGATTTATGAATTGATTATAGTCTTAATCAGAGTATAAGGGTATAGGCCAAGCTATGAAAGCCCTGTGAAGTACAAGAGACCTTTTGCATCATTCAAAATATTGTTAAAAACTTAGAAATGCTTATTTAATATTCCCCTTTAGATCTAAAAAGGAGGAGTGTCATAAAACTACTGATATCCATATCTGGTTTTTCTTCTGTTTTTATAGTTGCAGGACTGGAGTGAGACAAGAGGAGTGTGTGTGTGTGTGTGTGTGTGTGTGTGTGTGTGTGTGCGTGTTGAAACTCTTCATTAAACTTTGGACAGCCCTGTTTGTTTTTCTGCACTTTGATCATGCAAGTATCTGGCAGGTTTATGCTCCATTAGACAGGTTCAGGTTTCAAGCAGACCATTTGCAAGCTGGACCATGTGTCTGTGGTATGAGATTCCAATGTAAGGGAGCAAGAAAGAGAAACTGGATGGTAGCCGGGGAGAATTTGTGCTAGATGTCTGCAGAAATATCAGTTTTGATTCTTTGAAAGCCTCTACCGTAAAGACCAGAGGGAGGGCCAGGGATTTAGCTCAGTGGTTCTGTTGCCTGCCTCGCAAGCACAAGGACCCGAGTTCGATCCCTGGTACCAAAAAAACAAACA